GGGCAGCCATTAAAAAGATTTGATATGTCACACACATGGTCATTTGGATGTGGGTCAAAATTAAACCACCGGGGGACCGCAGGTTTAGTCCTTGGTTCCATTTACCAGGATTCTATTTTATTTTGGGTACTTTTTTTGGCCCGCCGTCATTTGGGGGCCGAAGGGAATACTTTGATCACCCCCCCATGTAACACGCCATGTGTGCTCGATGTCATAGTTAATGCTGGGTCAGGTGCGCAAGCCAGGCCGAGAGGGGAGTGTCAGACAGCTGCATTGAACAAGAGTCATACGGGGCCGTCTATCTTTGCAGGTACCCAAGTCTGGTTGTTTTAAAGAGATACCCGGAAAAATGCCCTCGGCCCCAAAGAAAGTCACACCCATTTTCCGGTGAACGCTGAGAGCTTTTTGGCAAGGCCGCCTGCGGAAGCTCGGACTGGGAAGTTTGGTGGAGTGCGTTCCTGAGATGCAGTGCTCACCATGTGACATGGGGGGGAGAGTCACCGTGATCCAATCTGTATGGCCCAATGGAGAGCACGGTCATTGTTGTTTTGTGAGTGACTCTGCATGGAAATGAGTGAATGCTATGACCTCAGGACCCCTGTGAGCGATGAGGAGAAAAGCCTGGACCTCGCACGAGTCATGTTGTGACTGCATACTTTGTGCGTTGTTTGGCTGGCAGGGGAAGATGAGCAGCCAGCCGGGGAGCCTTCATTCAATTGACAAAGCTTTTGACCGCTTGGGGCGAGTGCTGTGAGGCAGCTGGCGAGCCTTCAAAGCAGGAAGAAGGGCAAGACAAGCTGGAGGACTGCCGATGGGGATAGAAATGTGGGTGTCTTTCTTTTGAGGTACCCTTTTTGGGGTTTTGAAGGGAAACCAAAAAGAAACCCATCCTTTTAGGGTTCCCCTATTTGGAGACATATCCATGTGAGGGTAAGCTTGATGCTAACCAGGACAGTCCTCGCCGAAGGCGCAGGCATGCGAATGGATTCGCTCGGCGATAGACTTGAGCCTCGACATGCAGCACAGGCTGCAGGATCTTGGTTTGGACAAGGCCCTTGAGGAGAGGGGCGGCTGAGTGACGTGCACACACACACACAAGTGCAGTTCACAAAGATAAGAGTTGGCTTGTGGCAGGCTGTGCGATATGCGATGGTTCTTTGCTCCATGCCATTCAAGCCTTATGGATGTTGGAGTCTCTGGCAACCTGCAGGACTCCTTTCCCGCAGCTTCAGGCTGCGTCGGGGGTTCGTCTCTGCGGCGATCACAATCAGAAATCGGTCAACTGCAGAGGTGAAGAGATCGCGGAGTCTGCAGAAGAGCAGGATGCGCGTGTTCAGTGACCATGCTGATGGACGCATTATGGATGCTGATGTAACAGGCACTTGATTTGACAGGAGTTTCAAGAGATGGCAGCAAAAGCTAGAGCCAAAGCTGAAGAAGCGGCCGAAGCGAAGGTCGCCGAGGCAGTCGAAGCTGCGCCCGCAGCCAGGGAGGACAGCTGCCAGATTGTTTTTTTCTCCAAGCCATGGCTTCATAGGTGTCCTTTTTGGTTGTTTTGGTCGAAAACAGATGGCGATTCCCGGTATTCCTGGTGGTGTTTTCTCATCTACTAAGGGCATCTACCGATGCTACGACCCGTATGTATGTGTATTTGTAGAGAGATATGTGTTAGGCCTGCAGCACCCCACCCCAACCCCCCCAACCCCCCAACCCCATGGCTGGCTGTCGCAAGGATCCCTGGTCCGCTGGGCTGGCGGCAGCGCAGGCCGCGCAGGGCCCTGTGGACGCCAAGGCGCTGGCCGCGGCGCAGGCGGCGCTGCAGGTGGGCCGAAAGCAAGGCGTGGATGGTGAGCCATGGATCACCATCTCCGTTGCCCCGGTGGAAACATGGACCAAAACCTGCCCAACCCCTTTTGTTTCATTTTGAGCCATGGTTTGGTTTGGCGATTTGGACGTTAAGGGGTACTGGGGTTCAGATCCCCAAACCAGTCCAAAGCACCAATTAGGGGGAAGCAGAATGCGGGCACAGACGAAACAAGGGCTGAGACGAAGATCAATTCTATGAGCGGCTTTGCGGACTTGTCGAAGAAACCGTGACGCTTCAGGCTTGCTCAAGTCGAGGCTGGGCGAGCAGTGTGCATGCTGGTCATGCTGGGGACATGCCAGCTGCACTGCCAAAAGTGTGTTCCATACTTAACTCATGACACTCGGATGCTGTGTACACTGTGGCTCAAGGCCCCAATTTTGTGCCGGCGCCAAACACCCCCGTCATGTTCGAGACCTTGGCTGCCAGTGCCAAACAGCGATCGCTTGCTCAAGGACTTGTAGCATGTGAAGACACAATCAGCTGACGTGCGGGCCTGTCATGGGCTCTCCACCAGGTGGCATTGTCCAAGTATTTGCGGGAGAGCCCGGACAAGAAATTCTCGAACGTGCCCAACAGCAGCAGCTGGATAGGCTTGCTGCAATGACCAGGGTGTCTTCCTGCACCTGCACCAAGAGCAAGATGGCCGACTGCAGAGGCGATACCACGCTACTCCCGACCTGAGTTTGAGACACCCTTGCTGGAATCATTGTACAAGAAGATGCTGTGGATGGGCGACATCCTGCACCTTAGAAACTTGGAATGATGGTTCCAGTGTGGATAAATGATGATAAATGGGAAACATTGTTTCAAGTAGTGCAGCATTTCGCACATCCCACCGTCTTGACTATGATGAGCTGAGGAAGGTGCTTCCGTGCAGCCATCTGGGCGCTTGATTGTCACCAGCCCGGCAGAGGAGATGTTGATGCAGGCAGACTCCAATCGGCGTCCCTCATTGGGGCTTGATTGGCCGGAAGGTTCAAGAGGATCTAAGGGCCCCCTTCCGCGCCTCTGACCGCAACGGCAACGGCTTGATCTCCAAGAAGTGCAGAGAATCCTCCTTGACTACCCAAATGAGTTCAAAGGAGACCAAGGTTCATTCCACCGTCATGGACGAAGATTCTGATGGGCAAGAAGACTATCACGAGTTCGTGGCCTTTTTGGCACCCCCAGATGGATAGATGAGTTTCGCGTGTCGTTGTGTTTTCACTTGTGAATTCCGTTTAACTCGAATCGCTTCCGGCAACTGATTTCAATGGCCACGGTGGGCACGTTTGCCTTCCGAGCCTCGAAGACCAACATGCTCCAAAGAAAAACCGCAGGTGTGAGAGGGGCCTGGTTCGGCGGCTGTTTGTTTGCATCGCGCCCATTGGTTTTGCGAAGGGCTGCCTTGGAGGTTGGCCGATTTGGCCATGGACCTGGCGGCCAAGGTCGTGATCGACAAATCGCCCGAGAGGCCGGTGGAGGAGCTGGCGGCAGAGGCTGCCAAGGCAAGTGAAGCACAAAAGCGTCAGGGTCGAAATGGCCATGGGTCAAAAGCCTGGTTAGCCCCAGGAACATCTCAATCCCCACTGAAATAGACTAAAATGGGTGGTGCACCTGCCCCAAAATGGTATGTGACCCACAGCCAAATCAAGCTAAAGCCACAAGCAACTGCCGCAGAAGACGGGCTGGTTGAGTCATGCTCGCAACTTGCAGCTCGATTTCAGGCAGCGATTCGAGCCGGCGAAGCTGCAGGAGCTTTGGCAAACATGTGGCAGTCCTTGGCAGTTGAGAGGAATTCTACCAAAGCCAACAAAGGCGATGCGCTTTTCTCAGACGCAGGGTGCGTATCCGGTGGATCGATTGAAGGGGCAAAAGGGTTCGCGCAGGCGCCCCGGTGGGGCGCCGGGCCAGCCGCGCAGCCGCTGCGGCGGGCGCCAGTGTGGTGGAGGGCTGGACGAGGAACCCCGAGGCCTTGACGGAGGAGGTGGTCGCCACGGTGGCCAAGGCCAGGTGAATTCGACCCACCTACCCGCCCACGCCCACCCGCACACCCCAACACACGGCCGTGGGTCAAAACCAATGGTACCATTTTGGGGTAGGTGCACCACCCATTTTAGTCTATTTTAGTGGGGATTGGTATGTTTACTGGAGGTGCGGGGTTTTGACCCATAGCCACACGCACACGCGGTCACACAGCTACACACCCACACACACACACAGCCACACACCCACACACACACAGCCACACACACAGCCACACACCGCTGTCAGGTTGTCACTGAACGGAAACGAGTCCTAGTGCCTATGTTTCATTCTTTCGCTGTATATTCTCAACATCTCTGCTTGGGGCGGTACTGCAGCTGTGGACGTGCTGCTGCTCTTGCAATTGCTTCATGAACTGCTCGAAGAAACTGAGGTGATTGTGTCGTTATCTCTGGCATCAAACCATGCCATGCTGCCTTCAGTCTCCGCAGCAAATAATATCTCAAACTTGGAAACAACGTTGAGGAACTCGTTGTTGTTTATCAATGGCTGAAGAACTAATCAGTGAGCTGATGGATGACTTTTTGACCGTCACATCGGTGACAGATGGAACCAAGCGGGGCCCCCTTCTCATATGTTGCGGGCAACGAGATGCTCAAGGACCCTACGGAAGGACAGTCTCCTCATACCTAAACGCCTAAACCACCTAAGGCGTCCATCGAGCAATGGCGGTCATTCATCGTTTACTCCACATGTCCATTTGTCACATGATCCTCTTTTGGAAAAAACCCGCCCCGCCCCACCCCACCCCACTCCACCCCACCTCGCCCCACAGCCCGCCCCATAGCCCGCCAATCAGCTGGATTAAAACAAAGAAACGCAGCCGGCGAACATAAATGTCCGTGCAAATGGTGCCCAGGGGGTGGCCAAAGTACGGGGATATCATTACTGCATGTTGGCATCACAGTCTTCCTTTCTCTCATCATTTTGCTTGAGAATTGACGAACAGTTATTGTGATATCCCCGGTTGCCCCCTGACAACAAAACAACTGGGGTGTCCGGACCTGCTGCGTGAGTTATGTTCCGTCACGTCTCACGCTCCACATCGCAGCAAGATGAGCACAAAGACACTTCAAGGTGACCATCCACCACATCCAGACAAGCAAATCATGATTGCATCGATGCATGTACGCAACCACGCCGAATCTCCCAACATTGTGAGTATCTGACGTTTTATTCAGAAAGCGGGTCCACAAAAAGATGCGGGCCCCCTGTAAGCTGTTCTTCCCCGGGACGCGGGGCCGCGTTTGTTCCAGGTCGCCCACGCGGCTGCCCATGCGGCCCAAGCGCCGCACCTGGCCCCGGCGCTGGCGGCGGCGGAGGCGGGCGCCGCGGCGGCGCGCCTAGCGCGGGCGCAGGGGCAGAGCCAGGAGCAGAGCAGCGCGGACGCGGGCAGCGCGGCAGCGCGGGTGGGCAGAGACCTCGCGGAGGACAGGGACTTGTGCTGAAGGGGGTAGTTTTGGAGCGTGCAAGCTGGAGGCATCCTTGCTGCTGCAGTTTTGGGGCGTAGCTGGAGGAATTGTTGAGCCACTGCGTCAGGTTGCCCACATTGCAGCGGCAGCAGCGGCGCAGGCCGCGGGCGATGGGGCATTACTGGCCGGCTGCTCGGCGGAGCAAGCCTCAGATGCAGCCGGTGATGCTGCAGCCAACTTTGGCGAAAAGATGGGCTTGGGTGAGAGGGACTTTGCAGAGGCTGCAGCGCGTGCAGCAGGCGCAAGCCTGGCTGGGTCTCTCAGCAACTTGTCCCTGAGGGAGTTGGCGCTGCGGTCTGGTCGTGAGGCTTTTCGATCTGGCGAGGAGTGGGGGCTTAGCAAGGCAACAGCTTGGCACTCTGGGTCATTTGTGGCCATTAAAGTGCTTGGTGACGAAGCTCAATGCAGTGGACAATCTCTGGAGAGCATTTTGTCAGAGGCGTTGCAACTGGTGCTCTTCATTGGAAATTCTTCGGGCAATCAAGAGTCATCCAAACAGCTGGCCAGAGCCTATGGCGTGTACATCTTCCAGGTGCTCCAAAAAGATGGCGAAGTTGCCGGGGCTTCCGCGCTGGCCGCCGCCGCCAGTGTCAAGGCCGCAGACTTCAGCGGTTTGCCGCGGCGCAAGGCCGCCCAAGTGGCGGCCAACGTGGCGGCCTTGACGTTGGCCACGGAGGACCTGGGCGCCGCGACCTTTGAGGCGGCCCAAAGCGCGGGGCTGAGCCGGGACGAGGCGATTTTGGTGGGAGCTGTGGAGGCCGCAGCAGGCATGAAGAATCTGGAAGCGGAGGTCGGTAAAAGCGCCGTTCGTATTGGAAGTGATCTGGGGATGCCGCAGTGGAAGGGCAGCCAGGTTGCAGCCCAGGCAGCAGCAAGATACGCAGCAGACGGTTTCAGCAGCTTGACTGAAAAGACTCGCCGTGGCTTGTTGAAGCATTTTCACAGATTTTGTTAAAACCAGAAAAAATAATTGTCTAGCAACTTTGAGTGGGTGCCCCATGTTTCAGAACAACACCATACACACAAAAGGCAGGCGAACGACCGCAGGTACTAACTCAGTGACCGTAGGCGCTCGCGCACACAGCCGCGAATGTGAGCACACACGCGCAAACAAAAGGCACGCCCACACCCAAACGACGAAACAAACAAGCCAACAATTCTGCAAGCTATGAAACAACACAATCGCTCGCAAGCAAGCAAGCAAGCAAACGACGAAACAAGCGCACACGCTCTATTTTGTCGACTTTGTTCAAAGGAGCCTTTCCTGAGTTGCCCATCACCGGGCAGGGACAAATTCATACTCTGAGGCAACTGTGCAATTTCTCCCACAGTCCGCAGCCAATTTCACCCCCCAGTTTTGCATCCAAGAGATATTATGTATGTATATATAAATATACATATACATACATTCTGAACATAAATCTATTTACATAAATAGTACCCTGACACCAACTAACATCAAACTTGGCAGGGGGTTCCTTTAAAAGGAACATGGTCTTCCAAGACAGACGGAGAGACAGACAGACGGACGGACAGACAGACAGTCAATCAAGCAAACAAACCAACAAACAAACACACAAACAACAAACAAACGAACAAAATAAACAAACAAACAAACACACAAGCAAACAGAAGAGCAAGCGAGCAAGTACAGAAGCACAAGCAAGCAAGCAAGCAAGCAAGCAAGCCAGCCAGCCAGCCAGCCAGCAAGCAAGCAAGCAAGTAGACAAGACAGCAAACCAATAATCAATCAATCAAGCAAGCAAGCAAGCAAGCAAGCGCGCAAGCAAGCAAGCAAGCAAGCGCGCAAGCAAGCGCGCAAGCAAGCAAGCAAGCAAGCAAGCAAGCAAGCAAGCAAGCAAGCAAGCAAGCAAGCAAGCAAGCAAGCAAGCAAGCAAGCAAGCAAGCAAGCAAGCAAGCAAGCAAGCAAGCAAGCAAGCAAGCAAGCAAGCAAGCAAGCAAGCAAGCAAGCAAGCAAGCAAGCAAGCAAGCAAGCAAGCAAGCGCACGCACGCACGCACGCACGCACGCACGCACGCACGCACGCACGCACGCACGCACGCACGCACGCACGCACGCACGCACGCACGCACGCACGCACGCACGCACGCACGCACGCACGCACAAGCAGCACGCA